TCGGTATTACCAAAACACTGTTGCTAAGATCAAGCATCATCGGCTCACAAAGGTCCCTCGCTCCCGAGGTACTCGTCATATGGGATCATGGCATTCAGTACGTTTTACAACCGACACGTAGCCTCGGTTTGATATGGTACCTCGGTCGGTATACCTCCCTCGGTTCCGAGATGAGCCTTTCCTCGGTGCCGAGAGGTGCCCCGTCTTGGACGCCTTCTCTGCTCCAGGATAAGCTATTGACGTACAGGTCATTAGCCTAGGCTAGTCTAGGCTATTCATCATGACCTCGTCTTACACAATTAGTGTCAGAACGTACTGGAATGCAGGGGCCACAGCCAATGGGGGATGGACGCGTGGCATATGATATCACATCGAAGACAGAGAAACCGCATGCCGTTGCTGACACGCGACTTGGGAAAGCAAACGATTAATTACACCATTCCCTTGATGAGACCGCATTCAATGCGGTAAGGCTCGGAAATGAAAGGCAATAAATGCTCCTAATACAGAGCATTTATTGCATCCTCCCCGAGAGGAGTACATTGTACCGTCGGCATCCCGATGACCCAGCATTGATTGCTCGGGACCCCGAGCAGTTAAGAAGAGAAGACATTCCTCATCAGAATCAGTGCGCACACTGCCTGTACCTAATGATCACCTACTGACTACACTGACAGCAATCATGAGCTTTTGAGGTATAAATACTCCTTGCAAAAGGCAAGACGGTATGCAACAAAAAACTCTTTACTACAATACACACTCAGTGTTTTCTTCTTCCTCTCTCTCTCTCTCTCAAAGACTGACTAGATCGTCGGAGGGGATACACCGGAAAACACTCTGGCGCTCTTCTAACTTGTCCTTCTTTGTTCCAGGAACCTTTCTTCAGCCTTACTGGATCGTTCTTCCGCTCCCCCAGTGTCTCCCGTTGCCATTCCAGGTTACCACCGGACCTCGCAGGCTGTTCCAAGCAGCGTGGTTGGTCNTTCAGCCTTACTGGATCGTTCTTCCGCTCCCCCAGTGTCTCCCGTTGCCATTCCAGGTTACCACCGGACCTCGCAGGCTGTTCCAAGCAGCGTGGTTGGTTACTCAACTGACTCACTCAAGTTCACAAAGGGAGAGATTTGTTCTCGTTTTTATATTGTGCAGGATCATACACGCACAATATGATCATTTTTGTCTAAAGATGAGCGGCAGAATCTAGTGCGGAATAGATTGACTTCACAGTTGTTGGTGGTCCGTGGAGCAATAAGCATTGAAATAAATTCAGGCCTATACAAGACAATATTAAATGAGATGGAGGTACAAAATATCTCGTGGTCACCTGTCGATGCTAATCTCCAACAGCCAGTCGGGTTATTTGGCCCAAATAATAGTAATGGATGGTTTGACCGAGAATCTATCGAGGCGAATATGATACCTGCATTTGTAGAAGGACCTGAAATGGACCACCATGCCCCTTCCCAACTGTGTTGCCTCTGGTTGTCTTGTCCTACACACTTGCTTGTACGCAATGGTGACATATAGACGAGTAAAAGAGAAATGTATATGTGGTTAGCTATGTGAAATAAAAGTTGTATTGACTTTTCTAATGAATGTGGTGGGTAAGTTGTAAAAATGTGGTGGGTAGTATAGTTTGATTAATAACTTGTAAATTTACTCATACTAGCACAAACTATGGGATGTTGTTATTGGATGGACTGAAGTAGACCTCATGGGTGGATCTAATATTAAAAGGGGATCAATGAGAGATTCTCTTTTTACTAACAGACAGAGAGAGAGAGAAAGAACCAACTGAAACAAGTACAATGCTAATGAAACCTAATTTAATGACATAATTTATTATGACCTTCGAAATAACAATACTCCCGACACAAACATGGATAAATTTAACTCTTTTAAAGTGATCAAATCACCGCTGAATTTACACGGCCCGATATCGACACGAGAAGTACAAAACAACCAAGATGCTAAAATCCATATAATCAAGTGAATAAGTTAGCCCATTTAACATAATTTAAGCATGTGTATCCTCTGCATAACATTGTAGACAAGTGGATTATGTCACACCACCAACCCAACTCCCAGGGGGGTAATTGTTGGAAAAATAAATCCAAATGATAGGAGAAAGAAAGGTGGGACTCTATATTATGTTGCCCATTGCAAATAAAATTTTCCATGCAGGCTCGACTTTATGGAACTAGACAACGAGCAATTTTGAACGAAACTGGCACCATTTTCCTCGTCCATTTCAGCTAGTGATCATCTCTGTACTCCGGATTCTCTTTCAAGATGACAAAACCTTCAAGAATGGGCGAGAGTGGAATATGCCTATGCAAAAAAGGTTAATATTAGCATGCAGTAACTGGTAAAATGTAAACAGCACTTTTGAAAGGCATGAATTTATTTTTTGATGAGCTGTTCAAGAAAGATTTTAGTACTTCTCAGTTGCAAGTTCTGCTCTATCACCAGCAGCCAGGAGAACAGGGGTCGAGTGGGTCTGGAAACCAGTGATGGTCTTTGGTCGACCCGCCTGGCCAACAACATCAACAGCTTGGCCAACCCGGACAGGTACCGATAGAGGTTTCAGATTTTCGTCCACAGTCAACAGCATCCTTGGCTGTAAAATTAGTGGGAGACATAATAAAAAATCAGCAAGAAAGCAACGAACAAGGTGTTAAGGTATACAAAAAAATCAGTCTGTTTCAAACTGATAACTAACCTGCATTGCCAAAACAAGGAAGTATAGAACATAATGATATTTCCCCAAGATGATGGCTTTCATGTCAAGACATGCGTGCAGTAAAGTCACAAGTCCCGCCAATGCAGTCCTAAAGGAAAGAAGAAAAAGGCGTGCAAAATATCAGATAAACTAAAGAAAAATAGACATGAAATGAGGAAAAATTTCCCTTTAATTGCAAATAGTCAACATCATCCTCAAGGACAAACTGTTTCGAATTTTATAATACAAAAGGGGCCTACAAGCTGCTGTCAGATAGGTACTTACATGAAAAACCCAATGATGTATACAATTTCTGTAACACACCATCAGAACAATGTTCATTCAAATAGGTAGCCTCAGAACCGAAATTAATACAAAGTATGATTACTAGTTAGAATATTTGCTAATCAGGTCCTCAGTGTAAGAATGTCGGTGCCTATGTCCATTGATATCATAACCAATTTACAAACAACAATGCAGAACCCAACTCTTATGAATTATGATGAGCTGATTCCACACCAAAGAAGTAAGCATCAAGCTTTGGGCACCAATCATCATTCAACAAAGCCACAAATCCTTTTCCCACCATTGAGCTTCATATAGGACCATATTTTCTTTTACATAGGAGATACTAGTTAGGCCCCATCCAAGCTAAAAGGAAATCTTAACCACAAACCATATGTTTCATAAATTACAGGAAAAAAAGTTTGGAAATATGTTTGACACTGCTTAGACATTCCAGGGAAATAAAATTATTCCACTCCGTAGCCAGATCATACATAACATGAAATCACACTATCAACATTTTTAGTTTATATAAGAAACAATACTTCCTACAATAAAACCAAAGTTATCATGTGGAAAGCTCATCAACATTTTGTTTTTTTTTTTTTTTTTTAAACTTCATCAACATATAGTTAGAGCACACTAGTTCAAAAATGTGTTGGGGCAAAACCAAAAGGGGATTTCACTTTGATGATGGCAAAATTCCACTTTCCATTTCTAATGTGAAAGCATCCAAGGATTTTTCGGTGTATTGTTTCGGTCACTTAGGAAACGGAAACATTTTGACGTATTTCGGAAACGTTTCGATCCATTTCGAAAATATAATGAAAAAAATAAAAAATTTAAAAATTATTTTTCTAAAACATTGATGAAAATATATCAAAGTATCTTGAAATTCTTTGCAACATTCCAAAAACAATTGTGCAAATGCATTGAAATATTATAATACATCTAGAACTGTTATGGAATACCTCGAAATATCAGAATTTCGATTTCATCACTGTTTCGTTTCGGTCTCCTTGAAAACGGAAACGTTTCAAACGTTTCGACCGTTTTGAAACGATATTTTGATCCTTGAAAGCGTTCCCAATCTGTTCTCTTTCTTAGGAAATGCTAATTAGGCCCATCCAAGCTAAAAAAGAAATACTCAACAACCAACCATATGATTTTCCAAATCGGCGACAAAAGTTTGNATCTGTTCTCTTTCTTAGGAAATGCTAATTAGGCCCATCCAAGCTAAAAAAGAAATACTCAACAACCAACCATATGATTTTCCAAATCGGCGACAAAAGTTTGTAAAGTTCAAAACTTTAGTCAACATTGTTCAGCCACAAAATGAAAATAAAATAATTTTGCTCTTTATCTAGCTCATACATAACAGGAGGTCGCATTATTTACTTTTATACTTGTGTAGACAACGATTCCTACCCTAAAAAATTAGCTATAATGTGGAATAGCTCTATGACACATATTTGTCGGAACAAAAAGCTTCACTTAGATGCTAGTGAAATTCCAAAGAAAGTTTTTGTCGCAAACAAATACTCTATCAACTTGGTTAATCCTAAATATTATAGATTAGATATGACACAGATACGGATACAGGCAAAGCTTAAAAAACATAAGATATAGATACGACCTGAATACGTCTATAATAAAATATATTGTATATTTTACTTTAAACATTACAATTTTTAGTAATTCTTTTAACTAAGCAAAATCAGTAATTTTTACCTTGAAAAATGTATACTATCATCTTATTATGATACATCCATAAATGAACGTGCTCTATTAAACGAATCATAACCAACATTTAACTAGTTTTGCTTGCAAGTATTTGTTTCTAAGATTATACTATAACTAACTCGATTTATATACTCTTTTGATATGTAATAGTAAATAATCCTTAAAAATACAGGTGTCTCAAAGTCACATGAAATTTTGTTGATATTTTACATTGTATGTGAGCTTGAAATGAGAGGGTATAAATTAATATTAAAAATTGTACATCTTACTCTATGTGTAGAAGTATCCGTCAATTATCCATAAATTTTATTAATTATTGTATACGAATATCCAATAAGTATTATATCCGATATGGATACGTCGATTTTGACGAAGTATCCGTGTTTCATGGGTGCCTCCCCAATTGGCCCTAGTCCTCGTGAAACCTAGGAAGCACAAACACTTGATTTCAACCGGTGTTGGTGTCGCGAACACAGCTCTAATAGGGACACGATTCGAACATGTGCTGGACACATTAAAATGAGTGTCCATTTTGTTGTTATTATAATTTTCTCCGAGCAAGTGTTGGACATTTTGGGAACACGCAACCAACAACTACTCAACAAATTAGAGGACACATTTTGAGTTTTTTTTTTCTTTTGTAATTTTAAACAAATATGGGTAAAGTTATAAAGAGGTATCATTGCTAATCAACATAAGCCACCGATATAAACATAAATTCGGACACGATTACGAAATATTATATACAAATAGAATACAATTTTCATATGAGTAATTCGATGAAAAATATGGCTATGAAATTGGGTTCTTTGAAATTGAATAAAAATTAGGGTTACAAAACGTGATATTTTTTAAAATGAAAATTGTAATAATCACTAATTGTTGGATTATGGATATATATGATCAATGTGTCTTGATATATCTGATATTTCATTTTTTGTTTGATGAATTGTGATGTGAACGGTTAGAATTGAGGAAATGTTGAATTGAATGATTATGATTAAAATATATTTATTTTATCAGATAATCATATGTTTATATATATTCACGTGTCTCCCAATGTGTAGGTGTCCGTGCTTCTTAGCGTGAACCCATGCATGATGCATCTCCCACAGGATTTGCATGTCAAGCAGTTGTAACTCAAAATTATAATGGAGTTCTGCAGATCTAAGTTTTTTTGGCAGAACAAACACTTACGGGGATAGCAAAAACCGTTCCGAATGATATGGAGAAAGAGTCAACAAACCCTTCCCCAAATGTACAAGACCTTGAGCAATTCGAACCTGCAAAAGTGGCAAATGCAAATCATTAAATATCAAGAAGAAACCCAAAGAGAATGATACAAACCAAGACTCAGCATGTGCGTCTGTAAATATGTCAAAAGAAGCTTTACACAGAAGAGAAGGCTGGCTTCTTTGTAGTAATAACTTGAAAGATTGCGAAGCATGCCAGCTATCCTAGCATTGTTGGTTCCTGCACCGATCAAACCTAAGGAGATGACAGCAGCCTGTATCAACCAAACAAATATTTCAGGCTTTTGGGCATAACTACGAAAATGTAGCAACTACCACAACAATGAAATAAATTAAACAAGCTACTATATCACAATACCATTGCTACTTCTGTATCTGTATCATGACTAAGTCTGCTCAATGTGTCCATAACATTGACCTGGTCAAAATAACCAACCAACAATTAATGAGGAAACCATACCAACAGACCGAGAAGGTAGGAATCTCAGCAACTGAAAATTGTTCCTAATCGTCGAAGGGTGCTCAGCCCCGGCAAATAGCACTAGGATGATTACCTTAGGGTTTGATATGCAGATGAGACCAAGAGCCAAAGGAACTGCCCTTCGGATATTCTGCTCCCCATACTGCAAAAGATGCTCTAACGAACGAATCGCCATTTCAAGGCCCAGTTCTTCAGCCATTGCTACCATTGCAATTCCAAGTACAGCAGGTCCCTGGTAGGTTTCACCTTTCTCCAGATGTTGTGCACACTGACCTAGAAAGTGTTGGACCTGTGAAGAATGGACATTTAGCTATTTCATGCATGTAACTGGAATTTACCATCTACAATCGACCATGTTCAAATAAAGACCTTGAGTACGTTCCCAGTTCCAGCATAGGCACAAGAAAGCAGGGTCATATCACAATATTTTCTAATTTTTTCATTGAATGTCTTCGAAACTTCAGCTGTGGCCTCCACACTTTCCTGTTAAACACCAAAAAATGGACCTCAAAATTACTAGACTGATAAAACAAGGAATTGCCAAGTCTACATTGTATGGCGTCTGCTGACCTAATAATAAAATCCATGTGAACGGATCAAGCAAGAAAACTCTAGCAAAAAGGAAAAAAAATACAAGATATCTTTACAAACAAGAATTCCAGAGAATACCAGAAAAACCACCCCTACTGAGTTCAGTTACCTGCTTCCCAAGGTAAAGAAGACCGAGGCCAAGCGGCAAAAGTCGACTGAGGGGATCCCCCAATTCTGACTCACTTCTGTCCATCAATGCAAATATAATTGCCTGGGCGACCTCTTCATTACAGGAACCCACATACACTAATCCCAGTGAGATTGCAGCAAACGCTATCACGTCAAGGGAGGCCTTTGTATCTCCAAGGATAGGAGTCAGTTTACCACGGATCTATAAAACAACATATTGCTCAGCTCCAAACACATCCTTAGAAAGAAATTAAATTATTAAAGCAAACTCAACCAATTAACGCACTTCACTAGCCTAATAGTCAGCGACCAAAAACAAGATAATATTTTGTATGTGAAAAACCTTCTCTGACAATGACAGTATGGTACCACTGAAGACAAAACTCAATTGAACAAAAGGGAAGAAAGATAGTAGAGTCCACCATACACAACGTAATTGCCGTGGCCAACCAAATCATTAGGGGAAAAAGGAAGAAAACTCACCTGCTCATTCTGAGCACCTGCATATGCAAGACCCAGGCCCATTATTGCACCAATTCGGACAGAAGAATCTTCTTTATCAATATAATCAGCAAGGAGTGCCAATGCCTGAAAAACCAAATTTTGTGATATCTCAAGGAACATGCCACCGGTAATCTAGATGTTCTATGTACAGAAAAAATACAGCGACACTCACAGGATCACAATCATTCTTGATACCACAATTCACAATCCCCACGCCTAATAAAGCACCCGCAATGACNTTTTGTGATATCTCAAGGAACATGCCACCGGTAATCTAGATGTTCTATGTACAGAAAAAATACAGCGACACTCACAGGATCACAATCATTCTTGATACCACAATTCACAATCCCCACGCCTAATAAAGCACCCGCAATGACAGGGTTGTCATTGCTGTGGAAATATTTATCAATTTGGGCAAGTCCAGAGTCAACATCCCAAAGCAGAATCATACCCTACAATTGGGAAAAGCAGTAATAAAGCAATAACAACATAAACACANACAGGGTTGTCATTGCTGTGGAAATATTTATCAATTTGGGCAAGTCCAGAGTCAACGTCCCAAAGCAGAATCATACCCTACAATTGGGAAAAGCAGTAATAAAGCAATAACAACATAAACATAAAACAGCACCACATACTGTGAAGATTTACAAACCAGACTAGCTGCAGCACTGGTCTTCCCATGTTCTTTATTCTTATAAAGCCAGTTTCCAGAAGAACCACCACTTGAAGCCTCGGATGGGACCGTCATTAACTTATCCTGAGACAGAAAAGTAACGAATGTCACAAAAGCACAGCCCTGCAACAGTTAGTGTGCAGATAAAACACAACTTTACCTGTCCAAAGCCAGCATTGACAAAAGCATTGACAAACGTTGCTGCTAGATTCTGTCGGGCTGAATCAACACTTGCTCCCGCACTAGCCCGACCGTCAAGCAAATGTGCCTAACAAATGCAAGCAAATATATTATAAGATCAAATGGTAGTCAAGGAGCCTTAGTAAAGACCGACATAAATGGGCCACATATCTTTTGTCTTCCTCTCTAAAAGGTTTCCCTCTATATATGCCCAACCCCAACCCCCACATTGAATGCATAATATCATGGCCATTCATCCATTGCCAATATGAAAAATTACTAGTGAATCATTCCAACTTCTAGGAAAAAAGGGGCTTAAAAAGAAAAAAAACTAAAAGAACGGACAAGAAAACAGGAATGAGCACAGCTGGTGATGCTTTATTACTTTTCTGCAGGTATGCTAAAAAAAAAAAAAAAAGAATGGAGTTCCAAAAATATCCAAAGTAGGGAAAAAAAAATATTTAACAGAAGCCAACGAGATAAGCACAATGGCTTCAAGTTTGTGATTTGAAAAAAATCTATATTATTGGCATCGAACAGGATTGATAAAGAAATCTATTCCAGATCACAGATATCTGAAAACCCAGACCTTATATATATCCTCAGGAGATTTGGGCTCCATGACCTCGATATCACGAGCAAGGGTAAGAAAGCCTTCACTTAGTTTAGTGTTGTTGACAATTTCTTGCAATGTCTCCCTTTCCTCATCATCTGCAACCATTTCATCATCAAGCTCAAAAGTAATGCCCTGCAAGAAAGAAATTCAACAATGAATAAAGCATCAATTATACATCAAAATAAGAAGTTATTTTCAAGTCTTGTGAAAAAAGTAAATATTGTGATGTTAGGCCATATAACAATTGATCCCTATTTTATCGAGGGGTCTAATCACTCATCCACAAAAAGGTAAAAAAAGCAATCAAAGAAATTGTGAAATTCAAACTTACATGTCGAGCAAGGATGTAACAAAATTGCTTCTTTCGCAGCAGATCATTACAAGATGTAAAAACCTGCTTTACATACTGCCAAGGGATATATTGAGATATTAGAATGAAATAGTTACAAAGATAGAAGGAAAACCATTTAGCCTTCTATTTCTCTCATCCAAAATGAAAGGATATACATGCTATTGTCTAATTGCTGAAAAGAACAAATTTCTAGTATAAAATTTCTTGGTGTTCTACTGTTCACACATAATACAAAAGAGTATTAATTTTGGAGAGAGAGAGAGGGGGGGGGGGGGGGGGGGGGGTTT